TAATCCAAAAACTGATAGAGTCCAGTAAGAAAATCCATATATACCCAAGAAATCCAATATAACCAAAAATACCCAATAAACACACAAATTGAATTTGTTCATAAGAGATTAAGAAGAACTCCACCTCAAAATGTACATCGTGATTGTTTCCTTTGCCAAGAATTTCACATTAGCTTGAAGCTATAATTGGGACTCCATAATAAGTTATTTGCTTTGTTTGAACCTGCAGAAGATTTTTTTAAAAAAAAACGAGAGCCCTAGAGGCATGCACACGCAACTTGCAAACAACTCAGCAAAACACATAAGAAAAAATTCAGGAATTTTCAATTCTCAATTCGAGTCAAACAAATTATCAAATAAAACAGTAAGCACATTCATGTAAAGCAAGCCAAAGATTCAAAATAAATCAAATTCAGACATAGACACATATAAACCAAATATAGGCACAGAGTCAGACCAGATATCACGGAAAACACACACATAAACAATTTAGGCACAGATAGCGCAGGAAACACATGAATAAACACAAATACGGTCATGACCGGACTAAACACATAACACATAACACAGGGCAAGATTACAGATAACACTTTTATGGAGAAGCAAGTAAATCAATAGGTACATACACGTAAACACATAGCTACGAATATCTACTTGCAGCAAATTTACCATTCAAACAACCTTATAGATATCCAATTTTTAGCACAAGAAACACCAACAAAAAAAGGCATAATCAAAGGATCAAAAGCAGTCAAAACAACGTAGATAGGACATTTAGTGAACACACAGAAAAGGATAACTCATACACACAATAATATCAAGAAAAGGTCATCTTAGGCACATTTTAAGGAGCAGATACTTAAAACATAAATGACATATAGGAGTAGCAAAAAAACAGGTAAAAAGATAGGAAAAAAGTTAGATTCATAGACTAGGTATTGAAGTAATACCAACTAAAAGAGAAGAGATAGATGTACCAATATCCTGAGTGTTTTGAAGCATTTAAAGAAGCAAGAATTTTCTTTTTACTTTTTTTTTTCTCGTTAATCTTCATCCTCCATATTAATTTTCCCATCGTGTTTTGTATCAGCTACCTCAGATGACTTGTCAATGATACTCTTAATAACATGCATGAGGCAATCGGTACCTGAATAGATGAAATAGACACAAAGAACGCAGACACCGATACAGAAGAGGGAGTATATTTAGGTATTGACACAATTTGGGATGTGTGTGGATCTGAAAAAGAGGTATGTATAATATAGTGACACATTCCTCATGGAAAAAGCAGTACACATATGTTCAAATAAAGTGCAGGAGGTACTGAGCCAGACAAATTTGAAATAAGTACATTGTGTGAGGTATCCAAAATAACGACGGATTAGAGAAGAAAACACTTAAAAAATTTGGATATAGATGTAGGAAAACAAATGCAGTATTAAAGATTAAAAAATAGGCAGAGAAACCCTAGATTTTATTTTTTTATTTTATAAATTTAATAAAATTAAGAGAGTGACCTGGGCAGTGTCGGGCAGGAGTGGCGGTGCAGTAATAGTCGTCGGTGGCTTCGTAGTCTGCGGCATCTCCGGTGATGGTGGTGACAGATGGTGACTGCAGGCATTGGCGTTGATGACCGACTGGACACGTTGATTGCAACTTCAGGCGATGGCAATGGCATGTGGTTGGTCTCGGCAAAGCTCAGTTGGTTCGCAGTGATGCAGCTGCATTGTTCTCTTTTGGCTGGGCAACAGTAGTCTGGATGGCAATGAAGGTTGGGCAGCGGTGGTAGGCGGCTGGACAAGACAGGCGGTGTGGCATGGCTGGGTCGCGATGCATTTTTGGGTAAAAATGTAAAAATTTGGGAGCAAGAATTTTGGTAGGTAAAGGAATATTTTAAAAGGTTAGGAATTGAAATCTTGAAGGATTAAAAAAGCCTTTGTATAATTTAAGATATAATAAACCTGTTCCTGAAACATTGGCAAACGTTATAAGATAAAATAATTAAAATAAAAGGTAATTGACTTACCTGTTACTCTTATTTGGAATCCTTAATCAGCAGGTTTGCCAATTATTTTGTCATCCTTGAGATGTTATTGCAATTGATTGAGATACGAAGTCAGTTTTCCTAACCCAAATTTGTTTTGTAAAAGGCCGGATGTTCTTTAGCCTGAACTTCTCAGTTCTTTGATCCTTGTAGAAGTAGTAGCATTCGGGTCTGGTGTGACCGCGTAACCTGCAATAGTGGCAAACAGGATTATATAGTTTATAATGCATCTTATTTGCGCTTACTTTACCATAGGGGCGTTTCATAGTGCTGGATTCAGGGATGTCGTCTGAATCAGGTCTAGATGCTTTGACAAATACAGTCTTATCCTTGGAGTTACTGCCTGTGAAACCCAACCCAAATTTTGCAGACGTTTTCCTGCCGGAATCAAGAATCTCATCTAATGTGGATGTGGTATCCATCATTTGGATTTTTCGTTTGTAGGTGCTGAGCTCTTGTTTCAAATTCTGAACTTCTTGTTGGAGTTTTGCTTCTCGATCAGCTGCTTCCTTAAGAAGTACATTTCCGGTTTGTACTTCGTTTTGTAGTCTTTCCTCTCGACCTGCTGCTTCTTTAAGCAAATCATTCCTATCAGCTACTTGATTTTGATATACTTTATTTGCATTCGTTACAATCTCTATTTCACTAGCTAGCTTGCAGTTCATTTTTCTTAGCGCTTCCCATTTGGGATACAACTTATTAAATTCAGCTTCAAAAGATAAAGCATTTTGTTCCACATCTTCTGCAGAGACATAATCACCACCTTCTGAGTCTTCAACAGGTTCTGAACTGTCAGTAAATCGTGTCGTAAATGCAACAAAATTACCCAAAATTTCTTCGACATCTGACCCAATTGGTTCAACGTCGGGTTCGTCATCGCTCCAGGTAATGGCTGACATAGACTTTTTGCGTCGAAGATAGGTGGCGCACTCAGCTTGTACATGTCCAAATCCCTCGCATTCATAACACTTGATGCCTTTGTTGTTGGTCCTTTCTTTGGACTGTCCTGGATGTGAGATAGACTGTTTGGCGTTTGACGTCCCTGTTTTAGGTGCAGTTTTGAACGGCGTTGCTCCCTTTTGTGAATTTCTGTTGCGTGTGTTTTTGGATACCTGTTTCAAAATTTTGGAAAACTGTTTAGTTAAGAATGCAACTGTATCATCACTAGTTTCATCTGAATCGGATACAACATTATTTTCTTCAGTGGCAAAAGCTATATTTTTTTGTTTTTTCGTTTTTGTGTGATCAGTTAAAATTTCCATTTCATATGTTTTAAGATTTCCCATTAGCTGAGTAACAGATTTTTTCTCCCAGCCATCATGCTCTTGGATGGCAGTGACTTTCATTCGGAACCTGGGCGGTAAAGATCTCAGTATCTTCTTAACAAGTTTTTCCTGCAAGAATGGTTCACCAAGGACCATTGCACGATTTGCCAGTTCCTGTATGCGTGTATGAAAGTCGATGACTGTCTCATCCTCGTTCATGCGCAGTTCTTCGAATTCTGATTGGACCAGTTGCAGCTTTGACTGTTTTACCGGGGTAGTTCCTTCGTATGTAGACTCAAGAGCCTCCCAAGCACCTTTAGCTAAAGGAATACCTGCAAAAATTGAAAACTGGCTTTCATGCATAAGAGAATAAATTGTGTCTAAGGCTTTATCATTGTTTCCTGCATTGGTTATTTCTGTTTGAGTCCACTTGGTCTCTGGCTTAGTGACTTCTGTACCATCAGTGCTGGAACTGGGTTTAGTGGGATGTGTCCAACCTGACACCACAGACCGCCATACGGCTTCACCTTTAGCTTTTAGATGCGTACGGGTGCGAGCCTTCCAATATGCGTAGTTGTCGCCGGTCAACTGGGGAAGGACTTTAGTTCGCTCCATTCTGTAACACTTAACACCCCATGAGAACAAACAAATAAGTAATAAATAGATAAATAATAAAAGCCGCTGAAGATATGAATTCAAGAGGCACGGAATCGCCAGATCGATAGACTAATAAATTAAGTCTACAGGCTCTGATACCAATTGAAATTGCACCGTGACACTTGAAATATAAAAGCTATGTGTTTTTACTTGTTAATTAGGTTTTGCAGTAGTTACGTTCATTAATTAAACTTGTTTAAGCAAATGTAAATAATGAAAGCTAAAAGCATAAAGAATGAAAAAAACACAAAGAAATGTTACGCAGTTCGGAGCTCCTTCTCCTACGTCTGCGGGGCAACCCACGTCTGTTCAATCCACTATAGATGTTCACCAAAAGGAGTATTACAAGAGGTAAATATAGATGGCCTCCAGCCTTTACCACTACCACTCTTTCTAACACCTATCCAGGATTGACACACGAATACCCGAACAATTTTCACAAGAAGCTTCAGCAGTACCACGTACTGATCATGTAGTACAATATAAATACTCTTACGAATTAAATCAGAAATTACATTTAAAAAATAAATTGCTTTGTAAATTCAGAGTAGCTCTCGCAATGTATATTGATCAAATTGGCAACTTTCTTCTTTGAGTGACTTCCTTTTTATAGCACTTCATGAGCTCCCTTTATGATCCCCAAATGTAGCCCTTTTTTCTAGCTCTTCCTTGTTCAAATAAGCCACAACCACACATTCTATTTCTTTGAAATCTTCACCTGTAGACTTTATTCACCAATGCATGCTAGCCACTTATTTTGTAATCACATGCTAGCCAATTAATTTGTAATCACATCGTCCATAAAAGAAATAAATCTAACAACACTAATTTAATTTAAAGCTAATGAGACTAATAAATAAAATAGCCAATATTGTGTAAATTATTTTACACTTACAATGATCATATGGGTAATTAAGATAAGATCCACACATATAATTATATTATACATACAGACACATTAAGCAAATTAAATATAGCTTACAAGTCTGCTAATTGCAACATAAAACACCATTAATTAGTAATTAAGATAGTAATTAGAACATTTGGCGTGGGGTTTTGGTGCAGCAGCTTCCATAGCCATGGGGGTAGTGAGAAGAAGAAGCTGCAGACACCAAGTCCATCAAATCCATATCCATTGCGGCGGCGGTGGCGGAGGAACACCAGCGGTTCAAGGGTGGGGCTCCACGGTGAGAACCGGCGGCCCTGCCATACCCGGCGCCGGAGTTTGTGTTGTTAGCGGCGGGAGCTTGTGGAGGTGATGAGTTGATTTGATCAGCACCGCCCATTTCGTATAAGTTTGGATCGGATGCCAGATAGGTGCTCCAGCTTTCTTCCTCCGGCACGCTGTCTACTTCATTAGTCCTCCGCCCAAACGCGGCGAATTCAGCGCTGTTAATGCTCCGGGAGCCATTGTTAGCCGCCGTCGGCGATGTCGAGGATGACGAGGAGGTACCGAACAGTTTCTGCATGAATTTCATCTCATCATCGTACGTCTCCGTCAAGATCGACGGAGAATCGCGGCTGTCTTGCTCATCGCCTGCCGCTGCCGGCGGCGGCGGCGGCGGCGGAATGTCGACGTTAACCTGTTGTTGGATTGAAGGTTGCTCTGGAACGAGCGAACTTCCGGGCTAGCCGAGGCTGAGGCCACTGAAGTACTTATACTTTATATAGTTCTGAAGAACCACCGAACTCCTCCTCCCGCCGGCGAGGCTGCTCCCGGCGTCCTGCAACGACGACGACCTCATTCTCCTCTTGGAGAACAGCCGTCTCTTGGTGGCGTTCCAGTGGTTCTTGATCGAGTTCTCCGACCGGCCGGGAATCCGCTTCGCAATCTCCGACCACCGGTTTCCCAGCTGCTCATGCACTGCCACCAACAGCCTCTCGTCTCCCTCATTCCACGATTCCTTCTGCAAAAAGACGATCAAAATCCGGCGAAAAGCAGATATCTTTAATTAAACACTAAAAAAAGAAATAATTTTTATTTAAGGAAAAAAAATACATTGAATGGTGAAGCTTTATCATGACTGCCGGCAGGTTGAACTTGATTTTGTGTTTTAGGAGATACGCAAAGGTGCACTCCAAACTCCCTACGTCGTTGCTCTTGTTATTGGTGGGCAAGAGGTTATTGGTTACAATCATAACCAATATCTTTTGCTCCGCCGATAACCATTTTCGGTTTGGTCGAGTGGCCGAGGTGAACCCGTCCTCTTTCCCGAGCAAGTATCCGAGGTAGTCCTTGTACCCCGTAGTTTGGGTGTCAATCCACCCCTTTCGGTCATAGCTGGACACACCCGTGGTGGTCAATTTCAAGAGTTTGGCCAACCGGCCTTCGGAAAGCACAATTTCCTTGCCACGGACCTTGGTGGCAATTTCTATCTTGTCACCCCGTTTGGTGGCCACGAGGTGTTGGTAGAACTCTTTTACCAAGTCGGGGTATGTGTCCCCCTTGATGGCGAGGTAAGTATCTAAAAGCCCTTGATGTTTAAGCATGTCAACCAATTCCGGAGAGAATTGGTCGGGTTCGAGTGCTTTACCTCCGATTACGGTGTAGTCGGCATTGTTCCACTCCGGGGTGCGGATTCCGAGAGGCTTCTTTGGCATGATGACGATCGTGTGTTGGTGGCGTTTCCCGGCGACTCCTTTTTCCGGTACGGCGGCGACGGCGGTTTTCCGGCGAGTCTCCGGCGATGGTTTTTCGCTCGTTTTCACGGAGAGTGCCGGCGGGCGGTGGTTCCGGTGTAGATTCGGCGAGGAGGGGGGGGCGACGGCGTACCGGTGGCGGTAGCAGTCTCCAAGGTGGCGTCGAGTGGTGGTGGCAGCGGGTTGGAGCTGGGCACCCACCGGGCGGAGGGAGGCGGCCGATTCCTGGCGGCGTAGCGGCGTCGTGGACTGGCGGTCGTGCGTTGGCCGGCGGCGGCGTGTGGCTGGGGCGGCGTCGTGGGTTGTGGTGCGTCTAAGGTGGTCGGCCGGCGAGGTATTAGGGGGGGGGGGGTCGTGAGAGAGAAAAAGAGGGGTTGGGTGATTTGGGGAAGAAGGAGGAGGGTTTATTAAGAGGGTGTTCCCTTGTGGTTTCAAGAAACTCACATGGGCTAGTGGTTAAGGGTTTGGATTGGTAAATGGGAGGTTTAGAGTTCAATTCCTAATGGTGACATTAGGCATTGCTTGGTGGTGTAGTCTCCCTTTGTTTGTTTCCTTATTTCGTCTTTTAGTGGGGAAAGGGTTGAGTTGATGACATAACTTGTGCTTTACCTTGTATTGGATCTTGATCAACGAAATCTTTATTCATAGTACTTTATAAATAGCTAAGCTAAGTAGACATAATGTTTTCGAAGTAATTTAAACTAAATAGGTGGTCTATACGATACAGGGGGCGGTTACAAGGGGTTGATGGCTTATCCTAGACAGAATTCGCTTTCGGGATTTTCTTCGGTGGGTTCCGCATGGCCCTCGTCTTCCGGGATTGGGTCTCCCCCTTCTAGGTTCTCTTCGTCCCCGAGGTTGGCTTGAGTGTGGCTCATAACGAATACCTTCCTGGGAGCGCCGTAATTCCCTTGATGACTGGTGCCCCCGTGCTGACCCGCGGTGGCGGGGCGCGGTCTTTGGGGTCGGGTGCACTGGAAGACCTTGTGTCCTTCCTCCCCGCAGTTGAAGCATCGCCAGGGGTTGCCCGCGCAGTCCTTGCCTCTGTGGCTTTTGTTGCACCTCGGGCAAGGGAAGCCCCTTGGGTTAGCTTCATTGGTCCCCAGGGGTGGTCTTGGGTTGGTCGGGTTATTTGATCTCGTACCGATGTCGTTCCTTGTTCTTTTCACCGGCAGTGCCCCACTTCCGGGGTTCCTTCTTCGCATCTGTTCTTGAACTCCGTGTTGAAGTAGTTGGATTCGATAGAGATTCGCGGCACTGACGTAAGCCTCGTTGAGGGTCCGGGGCCTACTTACCACTAGTGCCTTCCGGGAAGTTGAGGCCCGATACGAATCTTTCTACCTTGGTTACCTCGGTGGGAACAAGATCGGGCGCGAAGCGTGCCAGTTCGAGGAACCGTTTATGGTACTCTACGACGGTGGCCGTTCCTTGTTTTAGATGAAGGAACTCTTCATACATGGATGCTTTTACGTGAGTTGGGTAGAACCGTTCACGCAGCCGTGCCTTGAGGCTTTCCCAGTTGAACCCCGGCTCTTGTCGGTGGGTGGGTCCCTCGTGGATCCACCAGAGATCGGCCTCGTGTCCGAAGTAGAACGAGGCTATTTCCACGCGGCGTTCCTCCTGGCATTCTACCACCGCTAGAATCTTATCAAGAGTCCGGATCCATTCCTCTAGGACCGCGGGGTCTTCTTCTCCGAAGAACGTGGGTGGCCGGTGATTTGAAACTTGTCGGGCGATGTCTGAGTTTGCGTTTGTCGGAGGTGGTGGGGGTCTGACGTTGCGAAGGGCCGCGTCACTTAGTGCCTGCGCGACTTGTGTTAGTTGCTGTAGAGTTTGGGTCAAGGGGTCGTCAGTAGCGGGTTCCGGAGTCCTTGATTGTCTTCTGTTCGGTGCCATGTTATCGTCTTTCTGGTCAGGGTTTATAAGAGTGTTAGATTAGAGTCTGCTGTACTTCTTATGAAGTGATAAGTGGGGAAGGGTTTTAGAATGAGGACGGGTAACGTGTGGGGAAATTATGTGTAGGTTTCACAATCTCTCCGCGCGTCCTAAGATTCCTAAATCCTATGTCCCTAAGTACCTAGAGTTCAAGCTTAATGTCCTAAGGTCCGTTCTTAAGAGTCTTATCCTAGGGTCACACTTAGTCTCTGATACCAACTGTAACACCCCAGATTTTCAAGACATTCAAAACTTATATAATAAAGGTAATATCTCATTAAATCCCAAAGCGTAACATAAGTGTACGGGGTGCTATGCCACACCCGGGCTAGAGAACCCAGGTGCACAGGCTGTCTAACTACTATTCTCCGAAATATAAATGCATAACATGGCGCGCAGGCCGAAAGGGAAACTACACTACTTCTACGCTCCAGTTCTAGCGCGCTCCAGTGCTCTAATCCTCTGTGCCTGAAAGCCAAATATATCTGTTCAGCGAGAGATGCTGGTAACCCACTCCAACGCGTTGAAATACAATACATATAGCAATATATATAGATATACGAAAACCATTTTGAGCATGAAGGTATATCCTACGAACTCTAGCTTTAAAACCGGGAATGACTCGACAGGTAATGCCAGACACATCAATAGTTATAACAGTCAAAAGCAGTTCATTATAGATAAGGCAATTAAGACAAGGCATAAGCAGTAATCATAACCCATCATAAACAATCCCCAATATGAGACCCATAGTCACATCCCAAGGCACTCATAGTCACAACTCGTCCATATCACACACATAACGCACATTGTTGGCGCCACGGGACCGATCGCATGCCCATACATGAGGGTCAGTGCATATAGCTCTTACACAGCCCCGCAGCACCATGCCCCGTATCGCAACACGGGGAGGTCGATCGCAACCGACCGATGAACCGCAGCTCATCATAATGTTTGATCGCAACCAAACAGTGGACCGCAGCCCAAGAGAGTGTCATCTGACCGCAGTCAGGATAAAGGACGAATCGCAGCTCGTATAGAAACGTTTGATCGCAACCAAACGGTGGACCGCAGCCCAAGAGAATGTCATCTGACCGCAGCCAGGAATACCAATCTGACCGCAGCCAGCTTCTGAACCGCAGCTCAGGATAACCAATCCGATCGCAACCATATTGGGGTAGCACACACACATAACACATAGCAAGCACATGCAACCCACGTTACACATTGGGAAGGGGGATAAAGCGTATAACAAACCTATGCGTGATCCATCACATACTAAGAGTAGTCCTAAGGGGTTCATACTTCCTTCACCTAGGTCAACGGGATACCAATTCATCTAGCATGCGATATAACAGACTCATAGACCTACGAATAGTACCCGAAACATCAAACTAGACATAGGCACGACAAACGGGGTCCGTTGGGACACCACGGGGATCGGGGAAACATCAAACGGGGAAGCCGGGATCCCGAAGTGGGGTAATTTCCAGCGGGAAGCCGGTGGGTGGGGGTCCACCCGCCGACTGCCCGCCGGCTGTCACTGTTCCGGGCAGCGGGTGCCCGGCGGGCAGCTGCCCGCCCGCCGGCTGCCCACTGCCGGAGCTTCCCGAGATTGCCGCGGGTAGGTGGCGGGTCCCCTACCCCCACCTACCCCCCACTGACTCTTTTCATCACTTTTCACCCCGGGAACCGTTGTGGAACCCGAAACCATGCTTAGACACTTTTCAACATAATTAACGACAACACATAGACAATTAATGGACCAAATACGATAGGCGAACGGCACATAACCTAACATGCTTTTCTAATCATAATCAACACCCAAACATGCGATTTCCCACCCGCTAATCCAAGAATCAAAGCATACGGTACAACCTAGGGTTCTAATCACTTTTATATCAACAAGAATACGATTCGTCTTCTAATATCAAGATTCGGTAGGAACAACACATAATAATCAAGGATACCAATTAATCATCAAGAACATCATAATCATCAAGAACAACACATAATCATCAAGAATCCCAATTAATCATCAAGAACATCATAATCATCAAGAAACTCCCAATATCAAGATTATCAAGATTCCCCATGGAATCATTAAATCAACATCAATAATAATCATAGTAATTCGCCATTTACAATCATATGGGGGAAAACCCTAAGGGGAATCATAGCTATGAAAATAGGTTTTGTTGAGACATGGGTTACCTCTTAGCCTTAATTAAATTTCTTGGCTATGAAGGATCTTTCTTTAAGCTTTCTTGATTTCTTGATTTCTCCTAGGGGAATTCTTGGAGCTCCTTGGGTGGTGGGAGATTATCGTGGTGGGTCTTCTAAATGCCTTCTAAGTTCCCTATTTATATGCTATGGGGTTTAATCCTCCTAGGATTAGGTATTGGGCTTTAGGGATGGGGGTCCACGGACTATGGTGGGCCTTTATCCCAACTTAATCATAATAACTTATTCTTTCCCATGGGTTATAGATTAATTAATTAAGTGGTCTTAAGGGGCCGTAACACGGGGTGTTACAGTATGCGAGAAGGAAAACCCTAGGTAGAGGATCAGAGAGAAAAATAGGTGTAGCTCACGGATAATTTTTGAACTCTTCTTCCTTCACTCTTGACCCAAAACATATATAATCCCAAGGGCGAAGAACCCTATTCAATGCGGCTTGTCAGATTACATGCAGAGCTGATGTGATTGACGCAACGGTATACCTCATTTTTAGGAGTGAAACAGAAGGGTGGAAGATTTGAAATTCGAAAAAGGCTAATTAATTTATGGTAACTTAGGTTAAGATATTCTCTTAACAAAACAAAAGGGAGATTTAAAAGGAAGTCAAAGGATTAAATTTGACCCGCAAAAGAAACACCATGTACTCTCCTTCTGTATAACTTACTGCCTTATTAGTCAATCCTGCAGATTCCCATAGCAGATCTGAAAATCTCAAATCGATTTTCATCTAGGGGCTTAGTCAGAATTAGAGCTGTCAAAGCGGGCTGGCGGGGCGGGGCCCGCCAAAGCCCGCCTTTTGGCGGGGGGAGCTAAAAAGCCCGCCAAGAATACGGGCCTAAGTAGGGGCAGCCCGCCCCGCCCCGCGGGCCCCTGCCAAAGCCCGCCTCTTTTTTTTTTTTTCTTTTTTTTTTATCATGTGTGATGTGTCTCTAAAATCTAAACTCTACTGTGACTATGTTAATAACTTAATTGCTATCTACTTAAAACACTTATTCATAAGAAAAATAACATAAATTCGTTCATCACAACATGACAACAATGACACCAATAGGGGTAAGTATAATTACCGAAAAACCGATAATTTTGGTTAACGGTTATAAGGCAAAAAAAAATTAATTACTCGACTATTCGGTTATTTATCAGTTATGAAGGTGTAATAACCGCATTCACCGAATAACCGACACTATTATTTATGTTATTATATTGTATATATTATATATATTAATTTTAATATATATATATATATATATATATATATATATATATATATATATATATATATATATATATATATATATATATATATATATATATATATATATATTAACTATTTTTTTAAAAAGGCGGGCTGGCGGGCTAGCCCGCCCCGCCAATCCCGCGGGGCAGGCAAAAAAGCCCGTTTTTAAAACGGGCTTCAAAAACATGAGCCCACCGTGCCCTTTTGGTGGGCGGGGCGGGAAAGCCCGGCGGGCTAAGCCCATTTTGACGGCTCTAATCAGAATGTCAGCCAATTGCTTATCTGTTTGAATGTATTCCAACTCTATCTCCTTGGACTCTACCAAGTCTCTGATGTAGTGATGCCTTATATTGTTGAGTCTTGAGTTGGTGTTTACTCTTGGTTTTACACTTATATATATGTATTCCGTTTCGAAATGATTTTTGTATATATACCCTACCTATGTATGATACTTAACAGGTGTTGGTGGGTTACCAGCATTTTCGCTGACCGGGCGTCGTCGCAATGTTTATCTTTGTGTCTTTCAAGTGATGTCTAGAGGAGCGTGATGTTAGTGGTCGGTAGTCCAGTATTTTTACCTTTGTTTTGTGGCCTGTGTCGTTGTAGTGTTAGACTGTTGCCTTTTGTATAGATGTATACACTTGCAGATTGATCGCCGTAGCGTTTACCGTGTTTGGTAGACGTGGCATAACACCCCGTTTGGATTTCTTTTATCCAGTTTTCGTTTTATCTTCCGATGTGCTAGTTTTGTTGTATGATCTACAGGTGTAAAGGCCTTTTATATAGGTCGTGTTTGGGGGGGTGTTACAGTTGGTATCAGAGCCTAGGTTTTGAGCCTAGGAAGATTTAAGTCTAGACTTTCTAAGTGGTTAAGTGTGTTTTAAGTGTTAGGCTTAGGACTCTAGGTTGCGCGGTGAGCTGTGTATTGTTTTATGTTCTTTGTTTGTTGCTTCTCTTATCGTGTTGTTGTTGTATAAGTTGTGATTCCTCCTCGTCCTCGCGCGCGCACCCCGAAGACCCTGACCAACGAACAGCTCGCTCAGAACCTTCATCAGCTGACCCAGACCATGCAGACGCTCAGTGAAGCTCTGTTGAACAACAATCACGCTGTGCCGCCTCCTCCCCCTGTTGGGCACCGTGACGTAGGACGTTTAGTGTCGGGTCATCGGCCGCCAACCTTCGTTGGCGAGGAAGACCCTGTAGTCTTAGAAGAGTGGCTACGGGTGTTTGACAAGATCTTCACCGTGGTGGGCTGCCCCGAAGAAAGGAGAGTAGAACTGGCAACGTTCTACTTTTGCCAAGAAGCGAACTTGTGGTGGGTCCATGAAGGCCCAGCTCTTCTTGAAGAACCAGAGTTCGTCTGGACAGCGCTCAAGGACCGGATGCGTGAAAGGTTCTACCCTGCACATGTGCGCGCGGCCATGTACGAAGAGTTCCTCCACCTGCAGCAAGGGTCCATGTCTGTGGTTGAGTACCACAAGAGGCTCTTAGAGCTGGCACGTTTTGCGAGGATGCTTGTGCCTACAGAGCTCACCAAAGTCAAGAAATTCATGGCCGGTCTGAACTACGAGGCGCGAAAAGCTTTGACTGTGAGTAGGCCGAGTTCTCTTAAGGACGCTTACGTGTGTGCCGCTGATCTGTATCGCGTGCAGCAGCTTCAGAGGGGATCGTATGAGCAAGCTAGGAAGAGATCTGAGGGCGGAAGTTCTTCTACCTTCAAGAATACAAGACCGAGTTTCCCGGCCCGGAATGTGTCATCTTCTTCTCAAGGACCTATCAGGACGGAGCATGGGAACCAAGCTAAGGCATCCCTTTGTCAGCGTTGTGGGAAGATGCATGTGGGTCAAAGTTGCAACGGCTATGCGTTCAGGTGTTTTCGTTGCGGAGATCGTGGTCACAAGATCGCGGAGTGTCCCAGTTAGCCTGCCAGAGAGCGTTGCCACCACCCCCGGGAGCTGGTTCGGGCCGTGGAGCAGTTGGAGCAAGGCCACCTGGAAGAGTCTTCGTGATGACGCGTTCGCAGGTGGAGTCAGAGGGTTTGGTGGAAGAAGAGTTGACAGGTAACCCTTGTCTTCGAGTCTATCCTTGTTTTCCCAAGAGTGTTGTGTTCTTTGTTGCCTTGAGTGTTGTGTTTCGTAGTTGTCTGTGTTCTTTGTGTCTTGTGTTGCTTTCCTGCTAGTAATTCTTCTTTGGAGCTTTCTTGGAATGTGCTTTCGTGTTCTTTGTGTTGCTTTCCTGCTAGTAATTCTTCTTTGGAGCTTTCTTGGAATGCTTTCGTGTTCTTTGTGTTGCTTTCCTTGGCATGCTTTCCTGCTAGTAATTCTTTGGAGCTTCCTTGGCATGCTTTCCTGCTAGTAATTCTTTGGAGCTACACTCTCTTCTTGCTAAGTGACTTCTTTAGTTGGCATCTAAGTCTTGTTGTGAAGTAGTCATCTATCTTTGGAATATCTTATGCATCTATCTTTGGAATATCTTTTCTCAAAATCAAGCCTAAGGTTTAATTGTAACCTTTGAGTTTCAAACCCAAGCCTATTTCTTTTCAACCCAACTTCTAAACCACTTGAGCTAAATGTCTTCCTTGGAACCTATCCAATTTTAATTCCTTCTAAACCATAAATTCCCACTTTACCAAAATTCCCAAATTTAATCATCTTTTTCCCCAATTTCTCCCAAATCCCTAAATCCCCAAAATTTTCTTTCCTTCTTCTTTTCCTTCCTCTCTACCTGATGGGCAATTTTTAATGTTTATGTCCTCGCAAGTGCACGAGTCAGTGTAATAATAAGGTGCAAACGCAAGGGTCGAATCCCACAAGGAATTGATACTAAGCAACTTAATAACTTAAATTCTTGAAGTTAAAATAACTTAACGAAAATGCTCAGAATAAATACGAAGGCTAATTCAATTGCTAAAATAATTAAATCAAAACTAAAAGAATCTAAGCAAATAATTATCATGCACCAATTGAGATAAATAAAAATCAGAATGAAATAGCCTAAGAACAAGAATAAAATTGGCCAAATTTCAACTCAAGTAATCTGTATGCAAAACACAAGATAAAACTCAATTCGTTGGCAATATTAAAATTAATAGTAACGCAGAATTTCCATAGCAATTGTATCATGTGTTTAACAGCAAATAACTCACAAAACATAACCTCTAAATTACCATCACAAAGCCAATTAAAAATAATAAAAACTAAAAGGGAAAGAATTTCTGTTAAATAAAAAATATCACAAAGCAAAGTAAAAATAATCAAAACTAAAGGGAAGGATTAGACAATAAACGTGAATGAATTGTTGTTGCCTAACAGAGTTGTGCTGGAAAAACGATGCTGCCCAGAACAATGTTGTTGTTGCCGAGGTAAATTCGCCGAAGCCAAATAAATAATTCCGAAGCTGTCGAACAAGTATAAATCTTCTTCGCCGATCGGAAATCTCTGCCACCGCCTCCGGAATTGGTCCGAGGCAAAACTGATTATATCGACTTGATGCCTTCTATCCTCTATTTATAATCCTCAGTCCAATCGGAGCTGTACCGAACGTTGATGCGTCTTCCTCCGATGCGGTCTCGTCCGAAGCTTCAGCTATTCAATAGGATCGTAGCTTTGACGGAGAAGAAGTTTGCGAGTCCTTTGTTCTTAAATAATAATAATAATAATAATAATAATAATAATAATAATAATAATAATAATAATAATAATAATAATAATAATAATAATAATAATAATAATCTTATTAGATATCATATATAACTAATCTACCTTTATTAAACTCCTACTGAACATGTACTACTAAAATTAATAATATTATAATTAAATTAGAATCAATGAATTATTAAACTAACAGAATTCAAATAATAGACAAATTTAATAATTAAAACAACCTAAAATTGAATAACTATCAAAGCTACTAATAATAACAATAATAAATAAAATAAATATAAAATTGATTAATTATTGCAAATTAACTATAAAAAGATTATTAAAAATAACAACAAAAATAATGTTTATCACTACCCCTGAACACCCTAAACCCCATCCCCAACCCGTAGCTCCACCACCAACCCGTCGCCCCACCACCGCCGGACCACCGCCACACCGCCGTCGCTACAGCCGGAGCTGCCGCCGTCGTCGCCGGTCTGTTGTTTGCCGTCGCCGAGAGCGCGCGAGAGAGAGAGGGAGAGAGGTAGCGTGAGTGAGAGGTAGAAGTTGTGGGCTTTGTTTGTTGAGCTTTGTATCATCTCCTACCATGCCCAGAAGGTCAAGTTTGGCTTGAAAAGCAGAATGGGTGGATACCCACTACCTTGTTCTTGAAGGTAAAGCTTTTGATCCGGAATCTTTTTTCTAGTTCCTTGTTGGATATGCTTAGATATCAAGGTTTGTTGGATGGGTTTCTCGCCATAAGGGCCGAGACATACCCGAGTTCGGTGAAAGAGTTTTACCGTCACATGGTTGTGACGAAGGAGGGTGAAAGGCTTGAAATCACCTCTA